GGTTAGAGGGTATTGAAAAGGCTGTGTCATCCTACAATTCCTATAACCTTCTTTTGCTCCATAAAGAGCTAGTCTCTAAATACCAAACTATCCTTTTGGAGGAGGTGGACTTATGGATGATGAAGTCTAGGATCCCTTGGCTCAATGATGGGAACCGTGATACTAAGTTATTTCGCCTTAGTACCATTTCTCGAAGGAAATCTAATAGAATCCTAACTATCTTAGATGAGAACAATATTGAAATCTCCTCACCTGTGTAAGTTACTAACTTCATTACCAACTCTTTTCAAAAGTTGTACACCTCAAGAAAATCATATTGCTCTATCCTTTCTAATCTTAATCCTAACTAGACCCTACTTCACCCTCCTTTCAATGCTATCTTTACCTTTTGTTCTATTCCTTCAAAATATGAAGTCCTCAAGGCCCTTAACTCCTTTCATCCTAGAAGAGATGGCATGCAGGCTGTTTTCTTCCAAAAATTTTGGCCATCCACCAATGATATCATCCTTTTTTTTCACAACTAGCACGCTTTCGACAAACCTTAACAAAAAAAGTCCTTAACCCAACTCTTATCTCCCATTTTTGCCTCATGAGTTTATGTAACACCATTTACAAACTTTGCTCCAAGTTTTTCATTATTAGGCTTAAACCTTTCTTCAATCACTTAATTAGCCCCCTTTAATCTAACTTCATTCTAAGGTGGCTTGCTATTAATAATGCCATCAATAATGCCATCATTACTAAAGAATTGTCTTAACCATGCATAAAGAAGGGACAAGTTGGTGATATGGCCATCAAAATTGACCTCAATAAGGCTTTTGATAGACTTGAATGGGATTTCATTAAAAATTATCTCAACCATTTTCGATTTTCGCACCTTTGGTGCAAAATGATCATGTTATGTATTTGTACCACATCAACCTCCATCTCCATTAATGGCTCATTCTCTATAGAATTTTTTTAGTCCTATGAAATTCATCAAGGTGACCCACTTTCCCCATACATATTTATCCTATGTATGGAATATCTCTCCTTTCTTATTGAACGAAAATGTCAATTGGGATTATGGAAACCTCTTAAGGCATCCAAAAATGGACCTTCCTTTTCACATATCCTATTTGTGGATGACATTTTTCTATTTGGAAAACCAAAAGTCTCCACTACTTTAGCCATTAAAGAAGTCTTGGATTGCTTTTGCAAGTCCTCAAGACAATCTATCCACTAAAAAATCTAAAATTATTTTCTCACCAAATGTTTGTTTGAAACTAACAACTTTATTTACTCTATTTTGGGCCTTAATAAGGCCACTGGTATAGGTTAATACCTCAGTTTTCCCATTCTGTCTAAGAAGCCTACAAAATTTCATTTTGAATTATCATAAATAAGGCCAAGTAGAAGCTCTTAGGCTAGAAAGCTAACCTTTTATCACTTGCAAGAAGACTTACCTTAATTAATACAACCCTATGTACTATTCCTCTACATGCTATGCAACGCAACTCTTTTCCTACAAGCATCTGCAATTCTCTAGATAAACTCATTAGTGATTTTCTCTAGCATAATGAATATAACAAGCACAAACTTTACCTCATAAGCTAGGACACAATCTGCTTACCTAGTGAACATGGTGGGTTAGATATTCAAAAGTGTAAGAAGCTTAACAAAGCCTCTATTCTTAAACTTATCTGGTGTTTCTTCACTTTGCCACGCTACTCTTGGGTAAAACTACTTCATGTTAAATATTCCTTCCAAAGATCTATTAACCACTCTTCCCACATCTGGAAAGCGATAACAAAAATTACCTATCCTTTCTTAAAGGAATTTCATGGAATATCAACAAAGGCAATCAAGTTAATTTCATTCATAATCATTGGCTCTCTTTTGGTCCTATTGATAAAAATGTACAAGGTCCTTTCCCTGTTGAACATTCCTTTCACCCAATTATTGAAGCCAATGCTGTCCTATTTACATCTAGGGAACTTCACTACCACTTCCCACCTTCACTTGAATCTACTATCCTTTCCTATCTTGCACTTGCCAATCCCTTTAAAGAAGATTATATCTCTTGGAAATTCACTCTTAATGGATCCTTTATGTAAACCTAGCTAGCTACCCAAGAGAGGGGTGAATTGGGTCTTGTCAATTTACTCCAAAACTTGTTTCTTTTCCTTTTAAAATATGAATCAAATTTCCAATATATAAATTGTTGTGCAGAATAAACAAAGAATAATTGCAATCTTGCAAAAAAAGTGTGAAAAAAAAAAAAAAAAGAAAGGGAAGAAAATATCAAGCCGTGATTTATAGTGGTTCCTCCAACTCGGAGTATGTCCACTCCCTAAGCCTCCTTGTTCGAGAGTTCAATCCATTAGAATTCTCTTGCTTACGGGTGCAAGATTAAACCGGAACAAACTCTTGCTTGCGGGTGCAAGATTAAACCCTCACAAGTGAATCTCAACAACTCACTCAACTCTTTTAAGGATTATCCTAATTCAAGAAGAATACAAAACCCTTGTACGCAAAGACAATTAACTCAAAAGCTCATAAGAAGAAGAAGACGATATCGATTTGTTCCCATTTTGCAATCTATGTTTTTCTATTTCGAGAGAAGTCTGCTTTGGGGAGCCTCATATCTGACTTTTAATGCATTTTTAATGGTTGGTTAGGAGATCTTGCAATTAAACCCTGTTTTGCCCTTCAAAGCCACCTCACAATTGCTCCAATCAGATTCCACTCTTTTTCTACTTCCTAAAGTGGGTTAGTCATTTGCATCCCTCTAAGGCCCATTAAGACAAAACAGATAATTAAACTGTCAAAAGTTTGCCTTCCAAAATCTTTGCTTCAAAGCCAGAAATATTAGTTTGAACTGTTTTCAAAAAAAGTACTACGAGATTAGTTTAAATCAATTAGAATTGATTTGAAACCCAAACTCTAGACAAGGAGGACATGATTTAATTCTAATCGTGGAAAAAATTAGAACCCTTGAATTAATTTTCCTGCACACTTAGCACAAAAATAGATTAAACTCTTTAAATCATGACTTTAAATCATCATCAAAATACAAAGAGAACCTAACACTTTACACTCTCATCTGCCTATCATATCACCTGCAACTCTAAGCCATAAGATAGAGGAGTCTTATGGAAATGGATCTAGAAATGTCCCACAATTCCCAAAATTAATTTTTTTATATAGCTTATTGCTCATGATAGAAGCCCTTCTAGGCTCTTTTTTATCCTCTCTTGGTATATACATCCCTGCTGCATGTCCCCATTGCAACTCTGCTTCTAAAATAGCCCTTTGCCTCATTTGAGACTACCTTATTACCTCAAAATGTTAGCAATCTATACCTATTCCAATTGCTCTTCTTAGTAGCTTCCAACTTAACCTCTCTAACTAGCTTAAAGCTAATTGCAATTTTAAACTTTGGGCAACCCATCCTTGAATCCCCTGGGTAGCTTATTTTTGTTACCTCATTTGGAATCCATAGCTTGATAGAAACAATCCTTGCTTCTATAATAGCTCTAACTTGCAACAAATTACTTGTAAAAGCATGGAACTTATCGTAGAACTTTGCTCCTCCAATCCCCATCTTACAAAAACTATTTCCTATTCCTATATTCCCATTAGATGGATTCCCCCAAGGGATAGGTGGTTCAAAATAAACACTGATGGATCCTCTAACTTCGATCAAACTTGCATTGGTGCTGAAGGAGTCATTAGAGATCATGAAGGTATTTGGGTCATGGCTTTTGCAAAATGTCTTGGGTATGGGATCAATAATGATGCTAAACTCTAGGGCATCAAAACTAGCCTAGAATTACCTGCTAATTTGGGGATTAAGAAGCTTGAAGTTGCAACTTACTCCATATTTGTAGTTAATGCTTTAAATGATAGCTTTGTTAAATACACAATTCACAAGACATTAATTGCCTGATGCAAACTTTTGATCTAGCAGTTTGAGCAAGCACTGGTCAAGTATGCATATCGTGAAGCAAATGGTGTGGTTGATATACTCACCAAGCATGGAGCTTTCATGGAAATGGCTGTTGTCACTTTTGATTCTATTTCGTACTTTTGTTTGTCTTACTTCTCTCATGATAGAAATGGTTGTATTGTGCATCAAATCTCTTTTTTCTTTTTTTTTGTAAAACTTAATTTATTTCAATGAAATTTTCATTTTCATAAAAAATAGAGAGAAGTTGCATGGACCCCATTGTGCTAGTGATCACCTACTTGTGCAAGCACAACCACCCTTAGCCTGCTTCTAGAAACAACAGCACAATAACCAGAGACGTAATATGAAAGTTTTAACCCCTTATCTTTTCAATCTAAATGAGAAAACTCAAAATGAATGACGATGTTGTGTGCTCATTAAAATTCTATTACCCATTATCATGTCAGCACCAACTTGGCAATTCCTCGCCACCATGATTACTACCATGTCAAAGACACAGTTTAATTAATTTCTACTTTTGTTATACCGTAATCCAAAAATTTGACTCAACTCATTCATTATGAGTAGGGTCATGGGTTGAAGCTTCTAAAGCATCAATCCAAAATCAAATATAACTCAAACTAAAATTACCTAAACCTGACTGCATTGGGTTAAAAATGAATCGAATCAAACCAAAGTAATCTGACTAAAGTTAATTAATTTTTTAAATTTAAAATTTTAATTAATTATATTTTTAATTTTAATTTTTAAGTATAAAATAAAATTAAATACTATAAAATAATTATTATTTATTAGATTATTAGTCTCAATATTAATTTAAAAGATTTTCGACTAAACAATGAATTAATGTTAAATTTGTTAAAGAAAAACAGAAAAAATATTATAAAATTTTAATTTTTAAAAAAGTTAAACTCACTTGATCCAATTTGAAACTTGTGTAAATAAATCATGAGTCTACTTCTTTAATTCAAAATCCAAAATGACCAAACTTAATAAATTTAAAATCTTCAGTAACTGAATCTAAAGTTACCTAATTCAATTTGTTTGTCAAGCCTAATTTTTATTATTTACAATGATAATCTATGATGATAAGAAATTACCATATTGGCATTGATATGCAATTGAAAACAGAATTATAATGAGTATACGATACTGTTATCTATTTAAAATTTTTTTATTTAGATAGAAAAGACTAGGACTAAAACTTTTATATTACAAGTACTGATACTTTCATAGTCATAGTCATGAGGTAGATGGCTGGCCATAGATTTTCGCCCCACAGCGGAAACCCAAGCAGCCGCCATCGCCGTGAAGGCTGAACCTTCAACGCCGCAGCCCGACCCGGTTTCCCCGGATCAGAAGAGAAGAAGTTCGCGGATCTCGCCGAGGATAATTCTATCCTCGCTACCGGGGACGAGTTCGCGTGGTTCGGGGAGATGGAGACGACGTTGTCGACGCTGCTGGAGAGTCCGTTATTTACAGAGACGAGTGCAGAGGATGGCGCTGACGTCACCATGTAATATGCCAATTATGTTGTTTCAAAGTCAATTTTCCTTTTAAAGAAGAAGTATGCATGATGCTGTGGTTGGTTGGTAGCACAACAGTGCATAACCTCACTACAGCATGCAAGACAGCAGGTGACTGCGGAAGCAGAGCTTGCTGAAATCCCTTGGCAGTTGGTAGGAATTTCTTCTTTTCTGATTTTATTTTTGTTGATGCAAGCAGGTTTTTCTTTTTGGGTTGATTTTAGCATCATGCCACAGTTAGTGCTCGATGCTGGCCAGAATGTGCTGCAGCTATTTGAACTTTATAAACTGATGATTCATACATGCACTTGGAGAGGACTTTATTATCATAACAAGACTGTTATACTGCGATTTGTTCTGTAATACTGGGATAGACCTAAATGCATAGGATTGTTTTACTGATCTCTGCATTGTAGAAAGGTTTTTTTCTTTCCCAGTCAGCCTGCATTCTAGAAGGTTGGGTTGGTTTATTTCTGTATTGTAGCTTTTTTTTTTGTTGAACGTCATTGTTATGCTGTTTTTGGCATAAGAAACTTTGCTTTTCACCTGTTTTCTTTTCCCTTTATTTGCTTTGTGAATAAGAAAGGGTAGATGGTGCAGAAGTTTCTAAATTTGGTGTCTTAGGTTTCTATTCCTGTCTCTTTAAAAAAAATTTTGCTGTTAAATTTAGGAAGCATGTATATTTTAAAGGAGCCAGATGGTCTCTATGCAAGACTTGCAAGTTTTCTTTTCTAGTTTTCTTTGTCGTTGTTGGTGTTATCGTTGACCATTTCTTTCTGTTTACTATGCGTTGATCGTAGGAACTGGAGAGACTATGTCAGAAATTTGAGGAGAATGTTTTGGATGCCACAAAGAAGTTTGAAAAGTTAATAACTGACAAGAAAGAGACTGACGGGTTGCCAGCAACTGCTTTTGGGCTTGCTCACAAACTGCAAAGTCTAAGGTATTTATTTTTAAAATATGGCATATGGTTGTAACATTTTAATAATCTCATTTATAAAGTCTAGTGCGGTTTCTTACTTTTTCTTTTTTATTAAATACATTATACCTTCATTTTTACCTAGGGGCATGAAAATGTGACTCCTGAGGATGGACCATGGATCTTGAAGTTGGATGATCCTAGTTTTCTTTCTGTCTTGCAACATGCTAAGAACCGTGCTTTGCGTGAGGAAGTATACTGCACCTATGTAACTCATGCATCTAGTGGTGATTTGGATAATACTCCAATCATTGAGCAGATATTGAAGCTTAGATTGGAAAAGTCTAAGCTTCTCAACTACAATAACAATGCTGAGGTAAGGAGCATGACTTTATTTAAGAGGTCTTTGCTTTTACAGGTGTACTGAACTATCTTTTATCAGGTAAGCATGGCAGTGAAAATGGCAACAATTGATAAAGCTGAAGAACTCCTTGAGAAGCTATGCAGTGCTTCCTGGAATCCTGCAGTCCAAGGTAGCTTGCAAAATATTGTTTTTAATGGCTACAAATGGTTTTAGTCTTAAGATCTTCAATCTATAAGGGGTATCTAGTGCTGATAAGATAAATAAATAAATAAGGGGCATCTAGTGCTAAAAATGGTTCTACAGTTTCAAAATGAATAGGATTTATGTGGGATGTTCTGTTTGTCTTAGTTATTTTAAACTTCAACTTTAATTGGAAATAACAATGTTTTCTTATTTTATAAATAGCATCATAAAATGAAACTCAGCTCCTACTTGATGTTATCTAATGGCTAAGATTCATCCTTTATGCTGCATCGTGGTCTTTTGTGCGTTCCCCTAGGGTTCCATTGATAAAATTTTAGAACTTAAATTCTATATGTGTGAAGTATGTCTTGCTTTTCATGTCTTGCTTTCCTAAAATGTTCTCTATATTTATAATTGTTCTTGATGCAAACTTTTCCAATTTTTTTTTATGGAAAACTTTCCCAATTAAAAAATCGTGGACATTGAGCTAAATGATTATTTATTGTTTGTTTGATCTTTGTAGATATAGATGACCATAAGAGTTACTCTAAAAGTCAGGGTTCATCTGAAGCTCATAGTTTGAACCATTGGGATTTGGGACATAAACTTCTAAAGTGAGAGGCTCCAGGAATCAAAATACAACATCAATGAGGTTCTATCTTGACCCCTTTCCATTGAATTCAATAGGTGTTAGACTAGAGGCACTTGACAAGGTTGCCATGTCATCTAATCTAAGATCCTTTTTTTGTGGGTGTTTGTGCGCACATGCATGTACACTTTTGTTCTATATTTTAAGCTTCATTTATGCAGTTGATTTGCTTCCCATAGCGATACTTATTTTTTGTCTATCAATCAATACTATTTCTCGTTTTATATATATATATATATATATGAAAGAGTATAGTGCAATTCAAATTGTACTGAATTGTATTACATTAGCTATTGGATGGAAGTTGGGTTCCCTGGTATTGGAGCCCTCTGTCACGGGGTGAGACTAGCTCCGATAGTACTTGTCTCGAAGGCGGAGTCTAGCTCGACCTCGTGCGGCACTTAGTTCGAAATTAACCCCGTAAACCCGAACCAAGTCAGCCTTCTCCAATGCTTGGCGTGGCCCTCTAACTGGGCTCGAGGTTAGCAACACGAATACAAAGGTAGGAAGTTGGGAGAAGAAGAGAATTTATTAAGATTGCAAGGAAGTGTACAAGAGCATGAGTACACAGCCCCTCTATGCGCTCACTCACCTAGCAGCTCACTCTTGCTAGCCAACTCTCTATCTCCTCTTCTATGTGGCCTCCCTATTTATAGAAGAGGTCTGGCCCAAGTCCCTCCGCAGGTGAGTCTCTAGAACACTCCACAATTCCCCTCATACTTACAATTCCAGAAGTTTCTCCACTCTCCCCCTAGCTTAATCTTACATTATTTTAGAATACCCCATTCTAGAACTATGTACAAGGCCCTAGGAAGATATTCACATGAGTTAGGCCCATTGGGCCCGTCCAGACCCCTGTCTGGAACCATCCCCGCGCCTCCAGCAGCTTCTAGAACGTTCTGGGCCGCTCCAGTCTGTCACAAGGGTGTCGACACCATAATCCTGTGTATTTTCCACGTGTCAACACTCTGTCCGCCGCTGCCATCGCACGCTATATGGACGCCCTTGGCCGCTCCCGCGCGTGCCTGTGTGTCTCAACCGCGACCCCATGCCACGGCCCTGGCATTGACACTGCAAACTCATGCCAGGCCCGCCTCTTGAGCGTTCCATGTCGCGCTTGTGCCCGCATCCGTGCCCGTGCTTGCGCGCCCGTGGGTGTCGTGGTTGCCGCCCCGTGCAACGATGGCCTTGACTTGGGCCCCCGAACTCGCGCTCTGTGACACCTCGCCTGTATCCAATGATCCCTATATTACACTCCAGTGTAGTCCGAATTGTAAAACAAGGTTTCCATATATATATATATATATATATATTTTTTTTTTTCCCCCTTCCTCTGAATGCTGTGATGTTCTTTATGTTAGACATAGTTTTTGCATGAAAATGGATCAGGATTTTTCTTGATTATTATGAAATTTACTTTGCCTGATGTTCTAGAAGAGTTATTAGGTCTAGTCAGTATTCTATCCCTCATAAATTAATTCCTTGGTCAGATATGTGTGTAATAGCTTCTGTAACTTAATATTTGAGTAGAATTGACAAGTTTTAAGAATGTGGCCAACTTCTTGCCATTTTTCAGTTTTGTATGCCTGGTTTTATTTTTGTTTTCCATGATTAGACTTGGGACCTAAATTGCATGGGAAAATTTATGGCACAAATTTTACAGGAAGAGCTCCATCCATATTTCTCATTGCCAAAGGTTATGAATGGCCTTTTCAACCTTGCTAATACACTTTTTGGAATAGTCTAGCTCCTGTAAGAATCCTCTCTGTTTCTTTCATAATGTGCCTCAATTGACTATTGTGTGGAGTACTGATTTTATATTCTAATCTATCATTCTTTTTTTTCCTTTTTCCCAAAGGTCTGAAACGAAGATGTCAGGTTTTACCGTGTCAAAGATTCATTAGGTACTCCAATTGTATACTTTTACTTCGATCCATATTCTCATCCATCAGAGAGAAAGGGAGGTGCATCGATCGATGAAGTTGTTTCTCGAAGTCATGTACTGTCACATAATGGATCTGCCGTGAAGTTGCCTATTGCTCACGTGATATGCAATTAGACCGAACCAGTTGGGGACAAGTCAAGCTTAATGACACTTCGTGAAGTTGAAAACATTATTTTTTGCTCAATGAATTAAATTTGGAGTTTTAAATGCTTGGAAGCTAAGGATACAGTGGTGAGCAATTGCGACAATCAAATGTTTTCCCTCGCCCTCTAAAGAGACTCCAAAATCTTCCAAACCATTGTCTTTAACTAGAGCACGAGCACCATATTATTTAAAAACGTATTATTGAGCCACCTAAGTTACTCCTCTGTTTTTCCTCCTTTCAAAAGCATGGTTTTATCTCATACTTTCAGCTAGAGCACAACTCCCCCTCCTCATGAAGTGTGAATATATCTCATTCTTCAGTCAGCTAAGGAAACGGAATGCTATTTTGTGGGCAGCTGTGTGAGTTCCATCTTCTTTAGAATGTAGAGATATGCTCCATGTTTGGTTGGAGCATGCTACTTGTTCGTTTTATTTGTTTTGCAGCAATTAATACATTGTGCACAGTGGCATCTGTAATTTCTTATTTGAATGGCACTTTTTGCCCTTTTTCTTTTCCTCTTAGGTTGAGACTGTTATTCATGAATTTGGCCATACACTTCAACATATGCTGACCAAGCAACGAAGGTTCAGTCGCTGGCATTTGGGGATGCTGTTGAGTTACATTCCCAGTTCATGGAAAATTGGTGTTACCATAAGTGAATGTGTTGGATTTTTGGTGGTGAAAACGGGGGATTGAGAGAGGACTTGGAGGAGAAGGAGAGACACCGGGAGACATAGCCACAAACATAGAACAGAACCATAAACATGGAAGGGTGTAGGCATTCACCCAACCGGAGAGGAGAAACATGCTTTCTCTTTCTCTCTCAATTTTCATCAATTTCTTCCTTTCTTTTTATAAAGGAAGGCTACACATAAAACAATAATATTTTTCTACCTAAACTATAATTATTAACTACCTAAAACATTGACTAAAATGATGAAGTTTGCTGCCATTTCTTGTAGCCCATGTGAAGCTCCATGCTGCTATCACTTTGCTGCTACTGTGCAGTCATGTTGCAGCATCATTTAGCAGATCTCATTTCACTGCATTTTCAGCTTTCATGCCATAGCTCCAACAGAATGTCTCTGACCAAAATTCAAAGTCTTTGAGTCTTTGTGATTGCTTTAGACTGCATTTTCTGCAAGTTTTGTTTGGAAAATGATACATATATGTGGAAGATAAGTGTACAAGGCCAAATATACAATTTGGTTTCAAGTACCAGCAGCTCCTTTGGTCCCATGTATTTGGCTTTCTGCAGCTCCATGGTTGTTTTTTTCACTGTATTGTTAATTAATCGGTGGCATTTTATCTTATGTGTAAAGTCAAAATTGCTTGGCAGAAGCTAGGAAGTTGTAAGTTAAGCTTGTTTCAGTATCTCTTTCTGTCATTGTTTTGTAGGAGAAATGGTAAAATTTTGACATATTTTATTTTAGTTTGCCAAATGAATTCTCTAATTTTCTTGTATCCAGCGTAAAAAATTGTCTATGATGCATGATTACTTTATTATATTTGGTTATATTTGTAACATGAATTATAACCTGTGTTAAATAAATTTCTATCTAATTTGTTTATTGAAAAAAAATTTATTGTCTATTGTTGATTTTTATATTTTATGGATGTATTTCCTACAGGAATTCTTTAGTGAGCATTGCAAAGCGTTATCAAACTGGGGAGAGTCTCCCTGAAGATGTGTATTTGAAGCTCCTTTCTGCAAGGACTTTTCGTGCTGGTTCTCTAAGTCTTCGTCAGGACAACTTCATCCTTTGTTCTACCCTTGTTTTGCTATTTTAATGCAGTAACAATGCTTCACCCAGAATTGTGCTTGTGTTCTTATAACCTTTTTTGAGATTCTTTCCTCTTTTACTTCTAATTCATAAATATGATACAGGAACAGAAGCATATTCTTTATGGTTAATGTCCTCTATAGAGGACATAGGAACTCTGTTAAAATCCCCTCATAATTCATAATCATGGAATGTTAGAAGCATTCTCTACATGTATATGGCTGTTTTTTCTCTTATTCTTTTCCTTCCTGGATACAACCCCGCCTCCTCACAGACTCAGTTACATACTCAGAATTGGATTCTTGGGGGTTTGGTTTACATCACCACTTTGCCCTGCCCCTTCATCCCTCGCTCTTCCCCTATCATACTGCACTAAAGGAAATGTCTTATTTAACCCTCTTAGTCTAATTTTAGTTTTATTGGTCTTTTGCTGTTTACTGGACTGTTTTTAGATCTATCTTTCATGGTTAATTGTTGCCAAATTTTCTTTAAAAACTGAGAGTTCATAATTTGATAGTTGTCTGTTTATTTTCTACAAATACCATACACATACAAGATAATTTGATAAGGAATCAGAAGAGGTGGTTTTTAGGGAGATAGTATGAGAAAAGTAGCACGTGGATGTCATTTACAACTTCATATAGTGAAGTACATTTTATGTTGAACGTTTGGTTAGTGCAACTTT